GTAGTAGTCTCTCACGGAGACGCATAACCTGCTACTCCCCTCTGCACAAGTTTGAGTGCCATCGTGTGAGCATTATTTCTAGAAACAAGAAATTATTTATAACAAATTGATACATAAAAGCCATACCTGCATCATCCTCATCATCATGACACAAGCGAGGATTTTGTACAAGCTCCCAAGAAACATTACGTTTAGGTAGCTTCGGATGCCAACCTAGCTCCCCCATTGGATAGAATAATGGATAAGACAACGGGTCATATGCCCCTGAGGTCACACGTATACTATGCCTTTCGTTGTTGTTACCACAAAGTGTTATCCTGCGGTCAAACCTTTTTGCTAGGTCAGTGCCCTCAACCCAAATAGTAGCGACCTCTGATGACACCGGTCTATTATATCTTCTTTGGTCAAGCCTCTTATCGGTGTTTAGGTCTATCCTATAATCATCAAGGTTGTCCTTGTGTGAACCCAAACTCCTAAATTGCTGGGAGTATGGGTTTTCTTTGAGTATGTTTACTAAACTCTTGACGACATCCTGGTCTAATTGCTTGGTGGCCGCCTTACGATGATTTAGGTTAGGGTCGTCGTCATAGAAGTACAACTGTAGATGTTCAGAATGGACATTGTGGTAGATGGTACCGTGTGCTCGGAATGTGTACACCCCAGACTTCATGTTCGTGTAGTTTTCATCTAGGCTGACGCCAAGGGTTGTGAAGGCGAAATGCCCGTTGAAGAACCGTATGTTATCCCGAAAATGTCTAGAATCTGCATCCATGCTGGACCATAGCCTCATAAGCTCTAGGATTGGTTCCGGCTGCTTAAGCTGGATCTGGCCATTGCGACAGCAGAAGCCGTCAGTCTCAGACTCAAACTTCCTGGCATTGCAGTGTTTGCAATCTTCGTCAAGTTTCAGGATGTGAGTGCGGTCTGGAATGTTTGAGTAGACAGCGTCAAATGGATCAATCTCGATAGGTTTAGCGGCACAAATGCTCGCTTCCTCGTCATCATCCAACATGTCATTATTGGATCCTACGGGCAATTGTTGAAAAATTAAGTTGAAAACAGTAACAAATAATACAGGACACAACAATAAATATACACAGTGTCATAGCATAGAATTGGCAATATCTTCGTTGCAAAACATGTAGTACTCCTCATCAATCACGTCGTGTGTTTCCTGCTCATCGCCCATGGTGCCGCGTTGGAATGCATCAACTTCTTTTGCATTGTCGTCGAATAGAATGCGGCAAAAGATAGGATCATGTTAGAACGACATGGTGAGAAAGAGCATAAGAAACTGACAATCGCAATTTCATACCATCAGCACCGGCAGTGTATCTCGGCATGTTCGTCCCGGGATCACCATCAAATGAATCATCTAGTGCGGCCCGGGAGACGGGTGATGCGCGGATTGGGGAAGTGGGACATCCAGAGGTTGAGTTTGCTAGGCCTGTAAGGGGGATTGCGATGCATTCTTTGCACGGTGTTTTTTTCCTTATTTCAAAATTGGCCTTCCTATGTGCACTTGACCCCCCCTTCTCAATCACCGACATGCTTTTGCGGCGCTGCATGCGCTTCACTCGTATATTTTCATTCATTCTTTCTCTGTCCTCCACCGTTAAATCGTCATTTTTCTTCTGATGGCATGCGTAGCTACATGCATTTTTCTGCTCCCTTTGCTTGTTTGTTAAGTTACGTTTCCTCTCATTGTCTCTTTGCCTCCTTGCTAGAATACTGTCCTGAATGACAGACGCGTCTACAGTTGAAGGGGGACATGTTGCTCCCTCATTCATTGATTCTGCAATGCTAGAGCTTTTCATATCGTCTGGTTCAGTCATATTTCAGTGCCAGAAGGAGTGGAAAGGTCTGAGCTTGGTTTTCTTGCTCGGTCCCAAGGGCACTTGCATTACATGGTGCACACAGGGATTCGTCAAGAAGTTTCCATCTGGTGTCTTGAGAAGCATGATTCGGATGAATGGACGCTGAAGCACCGTGTGAGCAATAACAAGTTGCTGAACGCAAGAGGTAAAGTCTACTACTATGAATACTATATCATCTCGTGTCATCCAGATCGTAGTTTGATTTGCTACGCTAATCATCAAGACAAGGCATTGATGGCGTATGACACTGATCGCGAGGAGGCTCGCGTTCTCTGCACTTTTGGGCGAGGCGATTTGATATCATGTTTTCCCTATGTTCCGCTGTTCAGCGATTCGAGTGTTCCCCTGAGTAGCTAGTTGCTCCTCGGTCTTGTAAACAAACGATTTGCAGCCGTGTAATGCTTCAAGTGCTAGCTGTGTAATGGGATGATTGAGAGACTCTCCATTGATGAGCTCTACTTGTTAACTCAGAACTTCTATGTACGCACTGCTACCTGCAGAATTATATACTATGTAGTTTTGTTTATCGTTGCATGCAGCTCGTATATGCACATGACAGAATTGCTTATCTTTGGTACTCCCTCCTTCCATCTATATAGGGCCTAATGCGTTTTTCGAGGCTAACTTTGACCAAATGTTAGAGCAATAATATATGACATGCAACTTACACAAAGCACATCATCAAATTCGTATGTGAAAGGAGCTTTCAATGATATAATTTTCACATTATGCATGTCATGTACTATTAATTTTTGTCAATAGTCAAAGGCGGTCTTGAAAAACGCATTAGGCCCTATATAGATGGAAGGAGGGAGTATATATGAGTATGGATCCTTTGGGTGCCAATAGTTGTTGGCTGAAAGGTAAATGAGTACTCTATTATATATTGTATATGTAGTTAAATGAGTAGAACTGAATAAGCACATGCGTGGAAACAAGCAGAAAGGGCATGCCAACTGAAACACTGAAAAATGGACATCCGTTGCAGACTGCTGTCCTCTTAACACTGAAAAATGGACATCCATTGCAGAGAGTAGCTAGCTAACGACAATCTTATACTATATAGCAATCTTATACTCAAGGAGAAAAACTGCAAGCATATATAACATCATGGAAGTCGTCGAGAAAACGAGAAGATCTCATGAATGGATTGTTTTAAGTTGAGGGTACTGCAACTGAGCTACCTTGATGCCTAGTTTGCGGAAGAACTCGCTCAAGGAAATAACTAACCAAGAACTAAATGGCTTCATCCAGTTTGGACAATCTCTAACTGGAGGATGAAGCGTGCTACAGCTACTTCGGGAGTAGCTGATTCTGATTCACGTACATATATCAACTGCGAGTACAGTGCATGTAGTTAAACTGAATCTACAGTGAAACTTTTGTACAAATGCTCGGTCTCCTAGGGATATAAATCAAAACCTGGCGCAGCACTGCATTACTTCATCATGTGTACAGAGTGATTACACCCTTCACCGAGTTCTTGATGATTGCTAGTTATTTCCAAGACCAACAGCATCATCATCATCATGGAGAGAGAGAGAGTGTCTGGATATGTCAGCCAGAACACAAAAAATTTCATCCTGTGCTGAAGCATCTGGGAAACATCAAGTTTCAACAGTGATATATAGACATATAGCAAACATAAACGTAACTGTAAAACAGCATAACTTTATACAGATCGTTGAGAAAACGAGAAGAGCCCCTGTTTAAATTCATTAATTTCGTAATGTTCTGTTTTTTCCGTTAAAAAGGGGAGAGAATTTTGTGGATCAATAACAGCTGAAGACCAACTGAACATACGCACAGAGCGCAAAAACACGTAGTTCACACATCACAGCGAAAGACTGTCTGAAACAAGGCAGAACGCTACAGCTTCTGCTGAAGACATACGGTGCAGCATATTGGTGTGTGCATGTAAAAGGAGCAGGAGCAGGAGCAGCAACCAACAACTCTGATGTACTTCCAAATTAATCAGGGTAAAATTGTCCTCCGGAGAGATCTGGCAATGCATTAACTGCCTACTCGTCCTTGTCGATCTTCCAGGACGGATTGTGGTGATTTCGATGCACAACACCTTGGCGATCTTCGAGGACAATTGGTGGCGGTTTCGATGCCCAAATCCATCGGCGTCATCTTCGTCCATTTTCAACATCACCAAGATATATCACAGAAAAAAGGAGGAAGGAAAATAACAATCCGGACACTATTACACTTCGCATGTTAAATACTAGCTTTCTCGAACGGCAGTAGGGTAATAGCCGATTTCAAAACAGCAGCAGTGCTTGCATCTCAGTAACAATGAAGCAGCTGCAGAGCAGGGCAAGGCATAGTTGATCCCCTCCCACGAACCACTCATCATGAAAACAAGCAGAAACGGCAAGTCAACTGAAAAGTGTGTATCTGAAAACTCTGAAAGTTGTTTTCAGAGCCGGATGAGGAGCAGGAGCCTGCAACACTCTCATGCTTGGTGATGTTCCTGTTTTTTGGCTTGGTGACATAATGCTTATGCAGTGTCCAATGCAGCGGCACCTCTTTAGCCCATTCAACAAGAGAGTGTTGTGTTGGTGTCCATTATCAGCAAGGACCCAATCTGCTACTCCCTCCGTCCGAAAATAGTTGTCATCAAAATGGATAAAAAGATATGTATCTAGAACTAAAATGCATCTAGATACATCCCCTTCTATCCATTTTGATGACAAGTATTTCCGGACGGAGGGAGTACTGAATTTGGTACAAGTGCCCATTCACAAGTTGACGAGTGATGGAGCCGCATTCACTGAATTCGGGATGGGTCCGAATTCTCTGAAAATTAAGTCGACGGCCCAGCGCCACGGCAGAGATGCAGAGGACCTGCCAGCTGCTTAATTAAGCTAGAACTTGTTCACACATGCTCGGCTCCATTGATGTTTGCGAGGCGCCCCTAGTTTTATTAGACGCAACCATCGCAGACTGCTACGGAAGCATCTGGACAGTAGCTAGCAACAGTCATCTGCTAATACAAATTAATTGGTGATCGGTGACATAAAAATTCAACAACAATATATATTGAACTGTATAAGACTGTCACCATATATAACAGAATCCAAATCATCGACAAAACAGGGAGAGCTCATCGAGTGTTTAGTTCAGAAACATATAACAGGGGCACTGAGCTTCCTTGAAATTTAGTTTCTTCAGAAATAACTCACCAAGAATGCAATGGCATTAACCAATTTAAACAACTGTCAGCACTGATCACCAATTGAAGGCGGTTTACCCATTTAGAAAGAGCACACATTTAATTTCTGAATGACAACTCTGAACTGGAACTGTCGACTGCAGGAATTAATCTGCTCTCAAGCTGCTTGCCAACAGCATCAATCAGCCACAACACTCACCTGTCCAATCGGCTACTACTGATTTGGTTACCACTGCAAATGATTAAAAGATGGATTGCGTCAAGATTTAGTTGACAGTAATGGGAAGAAGTAGAGCGTGTCAAGTGCTTATTCCCATTGTAACAGGGGCACAGAAGTTTGCTTGATGCAAGGAAAAATGTATTATCAACACAGATGACTGAATATTACAGAAAATGCAACTAATCGAACAACCTAACAGCCCATGAGGCAGCACAGTGCAGTCTTAACCAATTTTACAATTTTGTATCACACCGACTCCACAGTGCATTATCTGACGGAGAGGATACAACGCTATGGTGTACCATAAAAAAGAGAATAACTGAGCCAAACACTCTTAAACTTCAGAATCGCCTGGCCATGCTGCTCTTTAAAAAGAATAGACTAGGGTGGTTGGGATGTCTGCTGGCTGCTCTCTCCATGGCACTCTTCACGGCTTCAACAATGCCATCATCACCCTTAAACCAAATGCATTCGACACTGGTGAGGCAAGGGAGGTTCTCAATTCCAAAGCCCAGAGAGTTAGCTTCAACCATGCGAAAGTCATGAAGCAGTAGTTTTTCAAGCTTTGGCATGGACCCTGTCCCAAACATCAGATCTACTGGTTTAGAATATGCATCATAAATAAAAATCTTCAAGAATCGGAACCCAACTTCACCAGTGATTCTGAGCTTTCCGTTTGACTCTGTTTTTCCCACCAGATACAGAACGAGCAGACTGGGTAAAGCCCCAAGGGTGCAGAGTTCGCCCTGCTTGAGCACCTCAACAGAAAGGCATAGCCGTTGGAGATTTCTGAGGGAGCCCATACATGTCGAAACCTGCCAGGAGGCCGGAAGACCACTGATAGTAAGGTCCTTGAGGGTAGGCAGGCACAAAGATTCCTCATGTAAGAGGTTGCCCCATCCATAAATAGTCAGGGAGCCGAGATTCTGGGTGCCTAGCTTACACAGGGAGGAGACAAGAGCTTTCTCGTGCTCCTCCCCAACCATATTTCTATCCTCAGTGTCAGGATCAAAATCAAGGCCGCACAGGAAGTCTAATGGCTGAATGGAGGCATTGACATCTTTCAGCGTCTCTAGTGCTTGCATCTTTGCAATCCCATCAGGAAATTTAACAAGACCCTCAACAAGTAGATGCATCAATTTTCTGAGATTAACAACTGATGCAGGCAATTCCCTTACATGAGTGCGTCTTAGGTCAAGAATCTCTAAGCACCCTAAACGCCCGATTTGTTCCGGGAGCTTGCTTATTCTTGTACCTTGGAGGTTCAGGTACCTCAGCTGGAACAACCTCACTATATTTTCAAGATGATGATCTTCCCATTCGAAGCAACCCATCAAGTCAAGAACATGTAGATGTCTGAACTCCTCCAAAGAAGGGATTTCCAACAGACCCCTAACCATAGTAAGTGATCGGACATGGGAAAACACGAGATCTTCTATCAATACTGCTGAATTTCCTTTCTCGACACCTTGTACACAGAGTCGACGAACAACTTTGCTTTTGCTCCTAATTGTCAGAGTGGGAACCCCAAGTATAGTAACAAAGTTCTCTTCTATAGACTTGGATATGACGAAATCAAGAATTGTGTCATGAACTCGACAACTCTTCACTTCGCGATAGATATCTGACTCCCCAGGTTGGATCAAACCCCTATTGAGTAGTTCATTGAAACACTTTTCTCCAAACTCGTATGCCGTGTATCTTCCTTCTCTATGAATGAATCCTTCAGCAACCCATCTTCTTATCAGTCCCTCCTTCTCAATAGTAGAACCTTCAAGATATACACTCAGATATAAGAGACATGTTTTTAGATAAAGAGGCAGATCAAAGTAACTAAGCGACAATATCTTCATCATTCCTTCGACATTAGGATTTCTTTCAAGTGCACGACCAATTGACTCTTTCACTTGATTCCATAGCTCTTCTGTTTTTTCTATGTTAGCCAACAAGCCAGATATAGCAATGATCGCCAAAGGTAACCCATGGCATTTTTCCAATATCTGCTCACAAATTTCTTGAAGGTATGAAGGGCAATCTTCATCAGACTTGAATAACCTTCTGTGAAATAACTGTCTTGAGTGCACCATATCAAGAGCCCTTATATTTTAAATACGGCCATTGAATGATGAACAACATGAATGAGCGACATTGTTTATACGGGTAGTCGTGATTATTCTACCGGTAGAGTTTGTAGCAGGGAATGCACACTTAATAATATCCCAGGTATCCACGTCCCATATATCGTCAACAACAACAAAGTACCTGTACATGGACAAATAAATATTAGTATATCTGTAAAATAATGTGTGCTGCGTAGACAAACAAAGAATAAATGAAACACGTTAACATTGACAAAATGAAAAGGATAAGCACACGAGTGCTAAAAGGGCACATGTTACATAATTAATTCGTTTTGCATGTCCATCTTAGTTGGCGAATTACAGAGAGCAAGGGGGATAAGCAATTGTTTAAACAAGAGGCATGACCACACAAAAGATCAAGACTGGACAATTATGTTGAAAGACAAGAGATGGATAAAATGATGTATTGTATTCTGTATAATTATACGTAGGCGTCGATCAGGTGGTCATGAGCAACAAAGCAAGAATCTGGGTGTTGACCGAAAGATCCAGTGATCTAAAATGAAAACAGAGTAAATTACATATATAATATATATAGAAAAATTTATGTTTTCCCTCCTAGACTACTGATTTGGGCATGCTTTTCCATTAAAAAATTAGGCTCACTTAACCTAGTAAACTATAGTTTCTTTTTCTTGGATGGCTACATCGCCGGTGATGTATGGCTGTGTAGGGCAACAATAGTGGCTGTTGCCTTGTGGGTCTCAACGGAGCTGGTCTCAATAGAGCAGTGTGGCGTTTGGTTGGCGGGACGAGAGAGAAGAGGAAGAAGAGTGTATCAAAGCATGATGCATCTGGTCTGAACAAAAAAGGGACCCAGAGAAGGGAGAGGTGGAGGTGGAAAAAGGTGATGTGTGCGACAACTTTCATGTGAAAACCAGGGTAGCATGGATCTGGATGCCACCCTTGCAAAACCGGCCATGAGGTAAAGTGCATAGAAAATTATAGTTCAGGATGTTAAGGGATCTCAAGGAGAATTAGAAAGAAAACTGAGCCAAGTTAGTACTGTGAGAAAATGTAGTGTTATGGGGTCCTGACACAAACTTATGCCATATAATTACACAATAAAGGGAGTAACAATGTGTCAATGTATTGAAGTCGTAGAATATCAAAATAAAATGACAAATCATGAACGGAAGCTCCATATATTGTCTTCTTTTTCAGAACATCAACACAGTCTCTATTACAAACATTTGACCATTACTTTTTCTAACAACATACAGAGAACTGTGAACATAGAATTATGGAACTTTTTAACAAATTCCACTAGTATAATCTTCCTATGACATATCTAAGTAACTATTTTATACATTCAAAGATGACAAGTAGAAATGAAAATAATAATAAAGATAGAATGTACCTTTTGTCTGCTAGGAAATAAGTGATCTTGTTGATGAGTTGTTGTATACTCCCCACTTCCGTACAACCATAATCTTTCTTAGCCACTTCACTTAGAATGGTTCTCAAGATATTGGTCATGTCTGGATTTCGTGAAACTGAGACGAAAGCCCAACACTCGTATTGTCCTTTGAGCTCTTGATACACTTGGTTTGCAAGAGTTGTTTTGCCCATACCTCCAGATCCAACGATGGAGACAATCTTCAGTTGTTGTTGTTGTTGTTGCTCTGAAGCACGAACATCCTCTTCTGTTAACAGCTTGATTATCTCAGCCTTGGGCTTATCGATTCCGACGAGCTTCGATGCATGCTCAAATATAGCAAGAGCTCTAGGATCAACAGTCGCATTGACCGTCTTGGAGAAGGTCTCACGACCCTTGTACCTTGCATTCCTCTCACCCACCTCTTTGATTTGTTTCTTCAGATCTTGGATCTCCTTGCCAATCCGACAACGAGCCTTCATCTTCCCCAACTTCCCTAGTGAGTTCTTGATCTTCTCAATGAAGCCATCTGGCTTTTCGTCCTTGTCACCGATGCTTTGCATGAAGTCATCGATGGCATCCTCCATGTCATAGGACAGCTCCAGCACCTCATTCATCCACACTTTATCCTGCACATCAGGATCCTCCTCCGACATCTTGAGGAGAAAAGCCTCCATGGCGGCGAGCTCATTAGTGAGGGACTTGATCTCCTTGCGAACTGTTTTGAAACGCTTGTACTCATTGCCGAGCAGAGTGGTCAGCTTCCCTATGACAGGTTTGAGGACCCCCGTCGCCACGCTCACGAGAGCTGCCTCCATGGCCATGCTAGCTCAGAGCTTGGACAGTCAACTGTGCGTGAAGGACAGATTGCTGAATGCACTGACAGTTAACAGGTGCTGCCAATTGACAACCTGAAAAAAGAAGAGGATGGATCAGTACACTGAACATCTAGGTAAAGATCGCTCACATGGAACCTGAATTTTTAGTTGTGTCCAAGACGCAGGGAGAAGGGCTCATACCTGATTTGTCGTGCAGACCAGCGCCGCAGTTCGCTCGATTCGCAGTGCAAGTGGACAGTGGATTTGATTTATTCTCCGTGTCGTCGATCTGAACCCTGAAAGAAGATAGATCAACAGAGGTGAGCCCGATCATTGCTGCACCAAAAATGGCCATGCTATCTCAGAGCTCGGCCAGTCAAAAATGTGTGTGGAGGTCAGGTTGCAAAATGCACCGGCAGTAAAGAGCTAGCTACAAATTGACAACCTGAAAAAGAGGAGGAATTATAACACTGAAGAGCTAGTTACAAATCTCTCCCGTGGAAGCTGAGTTTATATTGGTTCATACCTGAATGTGGTGCCACTCAGAGCCAAGCGCGCTGACGGTGAACAGTGGAATATTTCCTCTTCTCTGCGTCGTTGATCTGGACCTGAAAGCGGATGGATTCAGGGAGGTGAGCCCGACCATTGCTGCACCACACGAGCTACAGAGCGTCCTCGGTGGCGACGGCGGCATCGGAGGAAGTCGAAGCAGGGAGCGACTGGGAGGGGACGGTGCCGTACCTCAAAGGATGGATCCAGCCGCGGCGTGAACTGGGCTGTGGCAGTCGCCTCGCCAGGCGAGGAGAAGGGGGGTGGGAGCTCTGGCGCCGGCGACGCGAGAGGGTCCGCGTGCCAGCCTGCCAGGTGAAGAGTGGATTAATTATTTCCTCGGCGTCGTCGATCTGGACCTGAAAGACGATGGATTAACAGAGGTAAGCGCAACGGTCGCTGCAACGAGCGAGCTACGGACCGACTCCGTGCCGGCCGGGGGCAATGCGCGCCGGCGCCGGCGGCTTCATACGTACCTAGCTCGCACACAATGGATCTGCCGCGCCGCAGTGGCGGATTGAGGTGACCGTGGCGGCTGGCCGGCGAGGAGAGGCTCGGACGCCGGCGACGCGTGCACGGCGAGACGAGGGCGAGGTGCACGAGAGTGGCAGCAGTGGAAGTGGAGAAGGGGATGGATGGATCTTCTCGGCAACGCGTAAACAATGACCGAGCACGAGCAGGAAGGGTCGTCTCCAAGTCGTCGTCGTCGTCGTCGTCTGGCCCATCTCTTCCTCTGTTCCGTGGGCCCAAAACCACGTGGCCTAGCAGGGTGTGTCGGCTCTCTCATGCGCAAATAAAAAAAGAAACAGTTTTAAAATATTTTTTGCGCACCATCATCTTTTGCATCTAATTTATAGAGTACCAATTGTTTTCAAAAAGAACAAGAAATAGCTACCGCTAATCAAATCCACCTGAAGCAAGAAGTTTCTAGTTTTATGGAGCCAGATGCGGATCAGTTCTTCAGTATTGTTGCTCGGTATAATTCAACACTTGGTACTCATTGCTTCTGCCGTTGCCGATGGCGCAGATCAATTGTGCGGGTGCATTCATCAAACTTGCGCGTACGTGAAGCGAATGTGCGTGTGTGTGTGTTGCGTCAGCGCTGAAACAATCGATAGAGGATGCCCTTGTGGCCTCCTCAGCTTCCAAAATTACCAATTATTGAGAAAAAAAACAAGAAACAGCTACCCCTAATCAACTTAACCTGAAGCAACAAGTTTCTAGTTCTGTGGAGCAACATGTGGATCAGTTCATCAGTATTGTTGCACAGTATAATTTAACAATGGGAACAATGGGTACTCATCGTTTCTTCCGTCACCAACGACGCTGATCGGTTGTGCGGATGCCCTCATCGAACTTGCAGCTACATGAAGCGTGTGTCTCTGTGTGTGTGTTTTTTTTTAGACAAACAAACCGTTTCACAAAGTGTGGATTGGCCGGCTAATACATGGCTTTATTAACGCTTTAACATGCAATGTTTCTGGCCTTCAAGCCTT